TGATGGGTGGTGGCCTGCTCCACTCCCCTAGTGGGTTCTGGAAGGAGTGTTTGGGTCTCAACAGAGTCCAAAATTTATTAATTAATGAACAAATTCAGGAGTGATGGATTAACCATGTGAATGAGAGATCAGCATTGAAGTGAGCACCATTGCTAAGTAATGATAAAAAATTTCTTCATTGTTAAGGAAATTTATTTCCTTGCTAAAGAGGAAATGAGAAAATGCAATGTCTTGTATATATGTAGCTATGAAAACCCCAACTTTTATGACAATTAATCTAGAAAATTACAACAAAAATGTCTTGACAGTTTTAAGGTGACAGTTTCATTTAACAAACACATCTCATTCAAGGTTGATGAAGGTAATAAAATGTGGTTTTGGATAGATAAATGGTGTGGTGGAAACTTCTTGTGCAGACTTTCTGCAATGCACAAGTTGGTTGTGGATAGACTTGTCAATGGATTAGATCATGTTCTGGATCCTATTTGAATACTATTTTGGTTGAGCCAAAATGTTAACCTTATATGGTAGTTTCTTTATGATTGGATCTAGTTTAGATCTGTACCTGTCCAATTGGATTAAGAGTTTTTATTTGCTATTTTTATCATAATATTTTGCATTTATTAGTGCATCATCTTACATGATCATGTTTGTAGGTTTTTTATTTTTCAATAACTGATAAGATAGCCTGGGCATTTGCTCAATCGGCAAGAAGCCTGTCACTGGGGTAGCTAGCTTCCTAGGAATTTTTGTTAACCTTGGGGGTGATGCATTGAAGTATTGAAAAATCCAATGCGACATTGATCATCATGGGATGGTCATATTGAAATACAGAGAGCATAAGGATATTTAAAACAAATACCTTTTTTCCCCCTTATTTAGGTAGCCTCTACTCTTGATGCTAAGACTGAGAAATACTATTGGACTGTAATACGTGAATATTATGGTGATTGTCATGTTAGCCAAGTCCTTGAAGTATCTTCAGTGGTTGTTGTTGTTACTGTTATCAGCTACATGTAGGCAATGGTTACTACTCAGTGGTTAGAATGGTGCATATGATAGTACCATCTACCTGGTTTAAACTACAAGAAGAGTTGGGATTTGTTTTTTCCTTCTTGAGAGGCAGATGGTGCCTCAAATAGATATGAAGAGCAACGGGAGATCAAATTTGTGTCTTCTGACTAATATAAACTCTAATAAACATAGAAACTTTGTCCCAACCAAGCTAAATGAAGCCTTTTGTTGATAGGAACTCAATATAAACTCTTATAATATATGTTTTAGTGTCAGCAGCAGAATATGTATGAAACAACCAACCTTGATTCGAAGCCATTGTAAATACACATCTTATACATTAATAATGTGAAGCAAGAAAAGGACATAATAGGGGCATGGATGGCATAATGCAGTTGGGTTGGGTAACCCATTTATTGCTTCCTGGAGATTTGAGCTAGGGTAGACCTATCATGATGTATTGATTTTTTTGATCATGATGCATCAAAATCTTTTGATTGTTGGATAATCTACTTAAAGGCATCTCAAATAATGTGCTGCTATGATGCTGTTGCAGCTTCATATTGTTGATCTGAAATTCATTGTAGCTTAGTATCTTTCTTTTTCTCTTTAATGAACTGACATAATAAGAGAGAATGATTCACTATCCTGTACAATCTGCTGTTCATTAACAATGGAAATTTGATTAATATGCTGTACATGAATGGATAAATGAATGCTTAGAAGACTGAATTATTGACTGACTGAAATAGAATATGCCTGTAAACATATTTAATCTGCTAGAATATATCCTCAAAGCTTTAGATTGGTTCATCAGTATATTTTTCCTCAAACAGGCCTCTAAAATTTTGAAAAATCAATATATCCTTTTGCTTGTTTCCATGGTGCACCAATTTCTTTTATTGCTTTAGGCAGATGCAGCAAGCTAGGAAATGCTTTAATTATATTTTGATGTTGAGTTTCTTAATTGCTTTTGCTCCACTTCATTGAGTTTCCTAATCGGCTTTGCTTTACTTTCTGCAAAATTTGTTCTTACCGAGCTCTGCTTGTTTGTTGCAGTGTGCTGAAGTAATGAAATGATTCAAACGGATACGGTTGCTGCTTGTTTTATCATGGTTGTCTGGTTGTCTTTTCTTCTATCATTTGAGGGCTTGCTATGTATACTTGATTTGGCTTCATTTTTTCCCTGTCCCCTGTATTCAATGTTCTTGTACACTTGTGGAAAACCATAACCAGTTTCCTCTGTCAGCCCCCGACTGATACATTGAGCATCTTTGTATTCATAATATTTTGATTCATCTAGATTGATGATGCGACTACTATCTGTATAAGATAGATATATAAAAATGTTGCTTCAAAGAGTATAATTTTGGGGTCCTCTTACAACTATACATAGCTCGGCCTTAATCACAACTATTTAGGGTGGTTAGATGAATCCTCTCCTGCCATTATGCTCTATCAAGAGCTGCGTTTTACTGTCAAATACTGATCCTTTAAATAATGCTTTACCACTTAAGACCACATTTTCTTTTGTCACTAGTCATATATACACGTGACAAAACCATCTCAATCAACATTACATTCCCTCATTTTGCTATTAATTGAATATACTCCCAAGTCTTATCTAATGCTCTAATTTCTGATTGTATTTTGTGGTCCTGCCACTCGTCCATCTCAACATCCTCATCTTAACTATATGATCATTTTTAGAACACGTTTGTTGATTGCTTTGTATTTTGTCCCATATAGAAATGGAGGTCTTAGGAAAATTCAAAATTTGTATTCGAAAATTCAAATTTGAATTCGAGATTTGATATAATCGAATCAAATTCGGGTAATTCGAATATGATAATCGATCAAATTCAGATATCTTATTTATACCATTTAAGTAATAGAATCGAATTCGGATATGGCCTGATTCGATTTGATAAATATCCGAATTTGATCGATTATTTAATTTTTATATATAATATATAAAATATTTTTATATAGTTTATATATATATATATGTAATATTTACATTATGTAAATAATTATGTATTTTATATATAACATATAAACATGTATTTTACACCCCTAACCCAGCAAGATGCATCTCTCCACTTCAACCACTTTGGTTTAATTCTATGATTCTATCTACATCACGTTTACTAATATTTTTATTAAAATTGCATTATATGTATTCTTTTTTTTTTTTTTTGATATCTTTTGCTACACAACGTGGGTAGCCCATCACCCATCCCATAACCCCCCAACCCACGAGAAGGCGAGATTTGATCTCAAGTCTCTGCCACGATCAGCAGGAGGGAGACCTTACCAGGCAGGCAGCTGGTTGGTATTTTGCATGTATTTAGTCTTTGTTTAGCTTGCCTTGACCCCTTTGATTTTAAAACATCCCTTGTTTTAGCTTCGCATTCTATCCGTCTTTTAGTCTAATTAAGCAAAACATATCATCACAAATAACATGCACCATGTTGGTTACTCCATGACTGGCGCAGAAAAGGTACAGATCGATCAAATATAGATCATTAGTGCAAACCCATCGTGATTGGAAATCTTATTGTCTCCCCTTCTCGAGTCTTTAATCTGGTTATTATTCCTTCATGCATACCCTAATGATATAAATTAACCCACTTGATTTCCCTAGCATGACCCTTGGTATTCTGACATACCATTTTCATCATGTCTTAGTTATTATTCAATCATCTTTTCCCGAGTTATGGTCTATAAGCTTGATCTTACAATAACCAGCATAACTTCGTATATCATTTTTTATCTTATTTAAGAACCATTGTACTTTTCTTCTAGTATCAGATTCTGGTCATAGGACAAACTGAAATTTAGTATTTTACCACTTCTGCATGCCCGCCTGTGTGTAGCTTTGTATGTATTGGATCCTTCGCTTTACCCCTTACTGGATATGTTTGCTTTTACTTTCTTTATATCCGCATGAACAATATGCTAGTGGGATGTGGATGTATCGGAGTCTTAATACTCAATGAACCTTACATCATCTACGGAGCCAAAACAGATCTCTCGTTACATAAATAATTAATAATATAGCTATTCTTTCCTTAACGAGGACCGAGGAGATTGGGTTTAAGGCAAAGTTTAAGCAGTGTTTGTTTTGATAGAATTAAACAGAAAGTTGAGGGAAAGTTGTTACAATACGAGATATGGGAGTCTTAAATACGGTTGTTTCAAAACACTTGGTGACGGAAAAGAGGTTCTACTTGTACTTAATTGGCTCTACTCTGGTCTTAAATTCTTAAGGCGGTTTGTTACCCAGTGCCCACGGATTGTGGCCGGAGTGATATTTCACCTCCTGGCAAATCATCTACTCTCAGGTCAGGGCAAATAAATTAAATTACAATTCAAATGGGTCAAGGCGCGTAATAGCTCTCCATATAAATTGTATGAAGCGGTGCATATTAACGTGGATCGGGGAAAACTGTTTCATCACTCCCATGTCCCATCCAAAGGGGTTAATTGGGCTAAAAGCCAGGACAATCCATGGGTTTTGTATGCAACACTATGAACTACCAAAAGTTCTCCAAACCAAACCCATATCGTTGAATCCGGATCTGCCACCCACAAGACCCTATCCTCACCCTAACCACAAGAAACTACAACCGCTTGTGTGGGGTACCCGTCATGTGGCTAGAAGATCCGAGATCCATATCAATTTGGTCCTCCTGTCTCAAAGAAAATCAATGGTCAATATTGCTTGAAAAATTTTTGGTGGGGTTATATAGGTAATATACGAGCTAGCGCCTAAGGGAATCAACATATGGCTAGTCCAACGTCCCGTATGTGTCATATATTCTTATTTGATTTCACAGAATGTTAATAAAATATTATTGACACTAAGATGTTACCATTGTTATTTTACAAGCTAATGGGGCCACCGTGTATAATGGATAATTACAATTATACACAATTTAATATAATTATTTATTTGAAAAATAGAATAAATATGTTCAATATGCTCTTAGCTCTAGGCAGAAGAGCTGAATATGACGTCTTACCAATCTTGAGACAGACACACATGCCTACACTTCACTTTAATAATATTTTTTATTAGACATTGATCCTTGTTGTGTAGGTAGTGGTGCATATTGGGCCAGATTAGCTCGAATTTACGATGTGTTATGGATTTATGGTTGAAGATTCGATCCACCCAAACTTAACACATCTATCCATCTTTGTATAATTACCATTGTTATCATTTAGGCCATGTCTTTGGTTACATGTTTTTTTTTTTTTTAATTCGCTACCAATCATCATATTCATATAGTGCATAATACTTTCTTTTTTTCTGGGTGTAATTTAAATGTTGAAGGCTTGAAGCTGAATCAAAGTCAGAGTCTACGAATTGGGAACATACATAATTTTAAGAGCAAAAAGAAGTGGAAATTAAATACTGGACCGACCTGACCCAACGCATAAAGGTGAAATTTGGGGGGCCTCGGTCTGAGGGTTTGTTAAAATTTGAATGGCCGGGCCCCCAGCTCTGATCGATGCGATGTAAATTCTTTAAATCGCGTACCTGAATTGATTTGCACCCCTACCAAGTACCAACCAATCCAACCTGATTGAGGAATTGTAAATTGGGCTGGATTAGGGTTTACTACATCAAGTAAAAAATCAGGTCGGGTTAGGGTTAAGGTTGGTGGTTCAACACCTCAGGTCAGACTATAGTATTATTAGCATGTAAAATGAATGAAATTATCTAGAAAATACCTTTAGCTAAATGAAAATGTGTAAGAATTATGGAGTGATTGCATTTGCATTCCACCGGGTTTCAAAATTTTCCCTTTGGTATGAGTATTTTGTCTTTTGCAATTATAGATGAAAAAGTTGATTGAAGGCCATCGTATCTTATCTGCTAAGTAATTTGATCTCTTCAAATTCAAAGCTAGGCTCTCTATCTTTACTTGAACTTATAAGAAAGAACAATTGCAATTGTGAAGTCACAACATCATAACAGAACTAGCTACTGCATCCAAAATGTGCGTTTCATTAAATTTCCTGTATGTAATTAACTGTTTGCAGAGAAAATATTCAGAAACATTTCAATAACCTTTTAGAGTTTATACCTAATTCATTTATTGGAATTTCTCTTAACTGGGAATGGTTCCAAATTGAACTTGGGATTTTCTGAAATTAGCTAGAATGGAGAAATACAAGCATTAGTCATAGTAGTTAGGGTTTGCTGCGATCGAGTGTTACTTTTTTGCATGACTAGGACTATGAAGTATGAACTAGCTAGGAAAGTAACTCCTCGCGAGGATCTCTAATTAGAATAGATTCACAATTATAAAGGGTTTCATGATATGGTTCACGTCTGAATACATCAAGTAATTCAGTAGTGCAACAGGGTATAGTGGATTCATAATATGGGAAAATTGCAGATTAGTACCTTGTACTTTGGGTCTAGCGTCATTTTGGTTATCGGACTTAAAATGTGATAATTCAGTACCCAAACTTTTAAAATGTGATAATCCAATACCTGCTGCCGTTAACTAACTGTTAATCAGCTGTTAGGTGGCATTTGAAAAAGGCACAAATGCCCTTCAAATGTTATTTAATTTTCTTTATCAAATATCTAAATGTTGACAAAAAATTAACAATCCCAAATCCTCGCCTTTTCCATTCAAGAAAGTTGGGGTCATGTTTGAGTGGACATTTTGGTCACCCCAATTTTCTTGAATAGAAAAGGTAAGGATTTGAGACTGTTAAGTTTTTGTCAATGTTTAGATGGTTGATGAAGAAAATTAGATGACACTTGAAGGGCATTTGTATCTTTTTCAAATGCCGCTTAATGACTGGTTAACAACTAGTGAACAACAGGTACTGGATTGTCATGTTTTGAAAGATTGAGTACTGAATTGTTACATTTTAAAGTTTGATGACCAAAGTGACACTAGGCCCAAAGTACAGGAATTTTTTCTATTACTTACTCACCTTTAACCAATGAAGTGTTTTTTCGCCTAATTACTCCACATGACATGATATATAGTACTCATTCATCCATTTGTATTAACAAGACAATGGGGTGCTTATTTATTTATTTATTTATTTATTTATTTATTTTTATTTATTTCTTATTTTGAGAGGGGGAAAGTTGGTCAATGAGATTTTGTTCCCCATTGACCAAGAATACCATGTTCTTTTTCCAAATTAATGTGGGGATCAAGAAAAGTTTATTTTCTTGGGTATCATTTACTTGGCATCTCCTATGTGGATAAATAACTTTTCAACATGGGGGGAAAGATTCTAATACTTAAATAGGACAAAAATGTCATATTTAGTAATGAATTTTTATAACTAAAATGATTATTTTCTTTTCTATTTGGAAAATAAA